TTTATATTTTCAAGAAAGTTTAACCTCAGAGGGAAAATTTTAAGTATAAATGTTTTGCATATGCTCTTAAGCACTTGCCATCATTTTGTTAAATACTATCAGTTTGATTTATCATGTTTCTGTCTCTTCTATAATTTTTTTTTTCCAGGCATACAAATGGTGCATTGAGGCAATGAAAGAAATCACAGCAGGCTTACCAGTCAAAGTCGTGGTGGATGTTTTAAGACAAGCTTCTAAGGTGAATATGATGTCAAAATTATTGAATGAATTATAGGATTTATTGGGCTTTAATTTTTTTTTTTTAGACAATCTTGCTCTTGGGTAACAGAGTGAGATTCTGTCTTTAAAAAAAAAAAATTAAAGTTTAATAAAGCTCTAGTGTGAATAACAACTGGAGTTGTCACTCCTATGCTTCCTTCCAAACCTCCTATGCTTAAGTGATCCTCAGGCCTCAGCCTCCTGAGGAGCCGGGATGACAGGTACATACCAGCATGCCCAGATTAATGTTTCTATTTTGTGTAGAGAAAGTGTCTCTTGTCCAGGCTGGTCTCAAACTCCTGACCTCAAAGCAGTCTTCCTGTCTTGGCTTCCCAGAGTGCTGGGATTACACACATGGGCCACTATACCTGAACTACGTTTGTTTTAATAAATTTAACATATTAATTATATTGCATAGACATAGGTCTATTTTCAAAAAGTTTCTGTGCTTATTTTTAGAAATCTGGTTTCTAATTAAAATTATCCCGTGCAGACTTTAACTAATTTTCCTTTACTAAGAAACCTGTGAAATAATTTGTTTTGACAATTGTTTCAGGTCACTAAAGTACAGATCAAAGTAGTATTTGGAGCCCAGGCCTGGTGGTTCACACTGTAATCCCAGCACTTTGGGAGGCCTAAGTGGGAGGATCACCTGAGGCCAAGAGTTGGAGACCAGCCTGGGCAAAATAGCAAGACCCTGTCTTTACTAAAAACAAATTATTAATATAAGGAAGTTAGCCAAGCATGATGGTGTGTGCCTGTAGTCTTAACTACTTGGAAGGCTGAGGCAGGAGGATCACATGAGCCCAGGAGTTAAAGTTGCAGTGAGCTGTGATCACACCCCTGCACTTCAATCTGGTTAGAGAGTCCCTGTTTCAAAAGGAAAGTGTGGGCACAGTGGCTCAAGTCCTTAATCCCAGCACTTTGAGAGGCTAAAATGGGATTATTGCTTGAGGTCAGGAGTTCAATACCAGCCCAGACAACAGAGCAAGAATCCATTTCTACAAAAATATTTTTAAAAAGAATATTTCTGTGTGTGGTGGCATGTGCCTATAGTCTTAGCTACTCAAGGAGATGAGGCAGGAGCATCACTTGAGCCTTGTACCTCAAGGCTGCAGTGAGGTGTGATCGTGCCTTTGTGTTCCAGCCTGGGCAACAGAGCAAAAAAAAAGGTTGTCTCTAAAAAGCAAGACAAAAAACCTAAGTAGTATTTGGGTACCATTGCAGCTTGGGTTTGTTTTTGTTTTTCTCGAACATTTATAGCAATCTTAGACCAAAATTCTGTGGGCTTTGGTCATTATTCTCCTAAAGAATAGCCTACAATTAAATCTTTAGTCACTGTATTGCACTCTCACAGCAAGACAGCTTGCTATACTTGACTCAGTAAACAATCCTTATTTGATTTTTCTCTATTTTTTCCTTTTTCTCTGAATAAGTGCCTTATCTACCTGAGGCCTGCTAGTAGTACTTTAAAACTACTGTTTTGGTGTAATGAGGCCTTAAAGCATTAATGTACTTGCAGATTTACAAGTACATTAGTGTACTTGCAGATTTACTTCTGCATTTTATGTAGAAGTTTCCCAAATTTGAATATTTCACATTAGTCAGTTTTACTTATGGAAGTTCAATCAGAAGAAAGATTCCTAAACTGCAGATTTGAAAGAGGCCAAGATTTCTGTGAAATATAGAGTAAATCAGTCATTTTATAATAAGTATACATCATAGATGTCTTGCTGTTTTGCCCAGGCTGGAGTACAGTGACTTTTCACAGCTGTGATCATAGAATACTACAGCTTCAGGCGGTCCTCCTGCCTCCACCTCCCAAGTACTTAGGACTATAGGCGTGTGCCACCACGTTGGGCTATGGTGCAAAATATCTTAAGAATAGGAAGCCAGGCATGGCTTAGAGGATTGCTTGAGCAGAGGAGTTCAAGGCCAGCCTGGGCAACAGAGTGAGATCCTTATCTGTTTTTTTAAACAAAGGAAAAGGAAAAAGACATAATAGGAAAACTCAAAATTCTGTGCATATGAAAATTATTAGGTGAAAACTATAAAACATTGTGGTAAGCCACTTCAGAACTGGTATATAAGTACCATAGAAAATACTGTGGTGGCTCGGTGCCTGTGGCTCAGGTGGCTAAGGCATCAGCCATGTACACCCAAGGTGGTGGGTTCGAATCCCCAGCCCGGGCCCGCCAAACAACAATGATGGCTGCAACCAAAAAAATGGCCGGGCGTTGTGGCAGGCGCCTCTGGTCCCAGCTACTTGGGAGGCGGAGGCAGGAGACTCGCTTGAGCCCAGGAGTTGGAGGTTGCTGTGAGCTGAGATGCCACGGCACTCTACCCAGGGGGATAGCTTGAGGCTCCGTCTCAAAAAAAAAAAAAAAGAAAAGAAAATACTGTGGTAAATCTCCGACCCTCCCCACCACCATTTTAGTTTAACAATATGGAAAGAGGACAGTATACCAGCTTTATAAGGTAACTTTGTAATAGGTTTGTACTAAAAATGACTTAAGATTATAAATAGATCTGTTTATAGGAGAATTTTTAAATACTTGGAAGGAAAGAAATATAAATGGAACCATCTATTTATGTTTAGAGGGGTTTTTTTTATTACTTATTGACTATTATAGCCAGAATATATAGACTTTACTTATTTTAGTGCTCTAATGAACAATTTAAGTTGTTTAACAATTTTTCACTTTGTCTTTAGGCTTGTGTAGTAAAACGTGAATTTAAGAAGGCAGAACAGTTAATTAAACATGCAGTGTATTTGGCACGGTAGGTGATTGTTATTAACAATATCATTTTTAATTGTCTCTCTCCTTTATATCCTAACAGTTTTGTATCTTTTTTAGGGATCATTTTGGATCCAAGCACCCAAAATATTCGGATACACTGCTAGATTATGGGTTCTACTTGCTCAATGTAGATAATATCTGTCAGTCTGTTGCAATTTATCAGGTATGTTGATGGTTATCCTTTTCTTTTCTCTCAAACTAATTTGTTGACCTGTATTTCTTTGCAGTCTATATGCCACTCTTTAAAAATAACTTTTACCTGCTATTTAGTTTTTAAAGAGTGTTTAGTAATAAATAACTCAGAGCTCTCCCCCAGACACACATAGGCATCCCATTATTTTTATTAAGTATTACCTGGAAGGCTCAAGAGTTAATATTTTAGGAATTAAAGAGAATCATTAAGGAAAAGAATTGTTGGATTGTAGGCTCATACTTAGGAGTTTCTTTCCATTTTTTTATTTTCCTGAATAATGGCTTATCTTTGCTTACTTAGCAAATATACTGCCTTTGTAACAGCAAGGGGGGCTGACAGCAATCATTGTAGGCCTTTCTTAGTCATTCTTAGGTAAATGACATATTACGCCATTGCTAAGTCAGATTCCATCTTGAAGAATTATGGCCTCCTACGTGACTTTTGTATTCTTTTCTTTTTTTTTTTTTTAGACAAAGCCTCAAGCTGTCCCCCTGGGTAGAGTGCTGTTGCATCAAATCTCACAGCAACCTCCAACTCCTGGGCTCAAGTGAGTCTCCTGCCTCCGCCTCCCAAGTAGCTGGGACCACAGGCGCCCGCCACAACGCCCGGCTATTTTTTGGTTGCAGCCATCATTGTTTGGCGGGCCCAGGCTGGATTTGAACCCGCCACTTTAGGTGTATGTGACTGGCGCCTTAGCCACTTGAGCCACAGGCACCGAGCCATGACTTTTATATTTTACTGTGATTTAAATATAGCAGGACGGGCTGGGCGCCCGTAGCTCGGTGGTTAGGGCACCTGCCACATACCTAGAGGCTGGCAGGTTCAAACTCAGCCCAGGCCTGCTAAACAACAATGACAACTGCAACAACAACAAAAATAGCCAGGCGTTGTAGCGGGTGCCTATAGTCCTAGCTACTTAGGAGGCTGAGGCAAGAGAATCACTTAAGCCCAAGAGTTTGAGGTTGCTGTGAGCTGTGAAGCCATGGCACTCTACCAAGGGTGACATAGTGGGACTCTGTCTCAACAAAATAAATAAATAAATAATAAATATAGCAGGACTTTGTTGGCTTCAAAGTTTATGGGATTGAGTATATAGAATATATTTTTAAATTATTATTTTTAAATAGATTATACTTTCTGAAGGTTCACAGTATAATCAAGTATTTTTATTATTTTTCCAGGCAGCTCTTGACATTCGACAGTCAGTGTTTGGTGGCAAGAATATCCACGTAGCAACAGCTCATGAAGACTTGGCTTATTCTTCTTATGTTCACCAGTATAGCTCTGGGAAGTTTGACAATGCACTGTAAGTTCCACATTCCTTTTCTGTGAAGGATTAAATACTGTTTGTTGTTTTTACCTAATACAGTGGTACTAGATGTACTTTGTGGATTAAATTTGTCTTCTTAGAGCTTTACCAGATGCCTAAAATCTTCTTGAAGTCATTTGAAATCATACCAATTTGGGTCGGGCATGGTGGCTCACGCCTGTAATCCTAGCTCTCTGGGAGGCTGAGGCGGGTAGATTTGCCTGAGCTCATGGGTTTAAGACCAGGCTGAACAAGAGTGCGACCCCCTTCTCTAAAAATAGCTGGGCACCCGGTGCCAGTAGTCCCAGCTACTCGGGAGGCTGAGGCAAAAGAATCGCTTAAGCCCTAGAGTCTGAAGTTGCTGTGAGCTGTGACGCCATGGCACTCCTCCAAGGGGGACAAGTGAGACTCTGTCGCTAAATAAATAAATAAAATCATACCAATTTGCAGACCACTTGATGTGGTTTAATATTGAGACTTGTATATTTTCAGATATAGTATGAGCTATCTCTTGAGTATTTCATTCAGTTTCTCTTTGAGTGAGACAGTAGCCTCTAGCAAACTTAATAACCTAAAAACTATTTGCTTGAAACACATAGAAGTATTGAATAAAGCTTAGCAATCAATCATCTCTTTTAAATGTATAACTGAGTTTACAAGAATGAGGGAAGGATTGGATATGGTTTCTCAAAACTGTACTCCTAGCACTCTTGGAGGCCAAGGTGGGAGGATAGCTTGAGCTCAGGCGTTTGAGAACAGTGTGAGCAAGAGTAGTCTGTACTAAAAATAGAAAAATCAGCTGGGCATTATGGCAGGTGTTTTTAGTCCCAGCTACTTGGGAGGCTGAGGCAGGAAGATCACTTGAGTCCAGGAGTTTGAGTGTCTCACTCTGGCGTAGGCTGGTCTTGAACCTGTGAGCTCAGGCAATCCACCAGCCTCAGCCTCCCGAGTGCTGGGATTATAGGTGTGAGCCACTGTGCCCAGCCAAAGTATATATTCTTAAATGATTAAAGATACAAAACTAGTTGGTGAACTGTAGCCTGCTGGCAGAGTTTTACTAGAACATTTGTCCGTGTGTTTTCTACAGCTGCTGTTACACCACAGCACCAGTTGCAACAGCAGTTGTTTAGTGGTTGCAACAGAGAATGTGTGGCCAATACTGCTTAAAATAGTTACTGTCTGACCCTTGATACAAAAAGTTTGCTGACCCTGATATAAAAGCAGGAATCACCGGGAAAATAAAGAAAAAAAGTCACAACCCCGGCCAAAAACTGCAATAATAATAATAATAAAGTAAATAAAACAACTGATACGTGTTACATACAACATAGGTAAAACCTTGAAAACATTGTGCTGAATGAAAGAAACCGGTCACAAAGGATCACATATTGTCTAATTCCATGTATGTGAAATGTCCACAATAGGCAAATCCATAGAGACAGAAAATGAATTGATGGTGCTTAGGCTGGGGAGTTCAGAGGTAAATGGAGAGTAGCTGTTAATAGGCATGGGGTCATGAAAATATCCTAAAGTTGGGTGTGGATGGGTGTATAACTCTATGACTATACTATTAAAAACTAATTGTGGCTTGGTTCCCCATAGTACAGCAGTTACAGTGCCAGCCACATACACTGAGAGTGGTAGGTTCGAACCCAGCCCGGGCCAGCAAAACAACTGCAACAAAAAAATAGCTGGGTATTGTGGCAGGCGCCTGTAGTCCCAGCTACTTGGGAGGCTGAAGCAAGAGAATTGCTTAAGCCCAAGAGTTTGAGGTTGCTGTGAGCTGTGACGCCATAGCACTCTACCAGGGGCAATATAGTAAGACTCTTCTCAAAAAAAAAAAAAAAAAAAGGCGGTGCCTATGACTCAGCACCGGCCCCATATACTGAGGGTGGCGGGTTTGAATCTGGCCCCAGCCAAACTGCAACAAAAAAATAACTGGGCGTTGTGGCAGGCACCTGTGGTCCCAGCTACTTGGGAGGATGAGACAAGAGAATTGCCTAAGCCCAAGATCTGGAGGTTGACGTGAGCTATGATGCCACAGCACTCTACCAAGTGCAACAAAGTGAGGTTCTGTCTCTTAATAATAATAATAATAAAATAAATATTAAAATAATTGTACAGTGAATGGGTAAATTGTATGGTATATGAATTATATCTTAATGGGAGAAGAACTATTACAAAAAATAAGTACAAATGGAAAACAATTATTGACATTAAATCTCAGAAGAAAAACAAAACAACAGATTAGTTGCAACTAAAGAGAGGATTGTAAATGGGAAGACAAATTTAAGAAAATGACTACCTGGAAGATGAGGATAGGAGGCTCAGAGTTGTTTGAAAAAATCTGACTGATAAAATAGACAAATAGTTTACCTTATATTTGGTGTGATGGACCAGAAACAAATAGCCAGCCATGTCAGGTGAATACACGCTGTTAAAGAAGAATAAAAGTAGGCTAGATACTTAGAGAGTGATTGTAGAGTTGTTTTTTTTCCTCACTTTGTCACCCTCAGTAGAGTTCGTGGCATCACAGCTCACAGCAACCTCCAGCTATTGGGCTTAGGTGATTCTTTTGCCTCAGCCTCCCAAGTACCTGGCACTATAGGCGCCCACCACAATGCCTCACTATTTTTTGTTGTTCATTGTTGCAGTTTGGCCAAGGCCAGGTTTGAACCTGCCACCCTCGGTATATGGGGTCAGCACCCTACTCATTGAGCCACAGGCACCGTCTAGATAGTAGGGTTTTTTTAAAGGGCCTTTTATTTACTCTGTTCTCAAAGGTCCTATTCACTAGGAGTTGCTATGTGGAAGATCACAGGAAAGTAAAACAGGTGCGAGGGTAAGAACATGCTTTGCATGTTCAGGAAACTGAGGCCTGTGTGGCTGGAGGGGAAAGAGAATTGATCTGAGTATGGTAGGAAGTGTGGTCAGAGAGGTAGCAGAGTAAAAGATAGAGTCTTATAGGCATAATAATGGTTTCTTCTTTTATTCTGAAGGAAATGGGAATTCATTTGATGTTAAAAGTGTAGTCTACAATAAATTGAAAATTTAAAACAAAAGACTGGTTCTTTACCATGAATAGTTTTAGAGTACTTTCTTTTTTTTTTTTTTTTTTTGAGACAGTCTCCTTATATCACCCTCAGTAGATTGCCATGGCGTCAGAGTTCACAGCAACCTCAAACTCTTGGGCTTAAGAGAGATCCTCTTGCCTCAGCCTCCCAAGTAGCTGGGACTACAAGCGCCTGCCATAACACCTGGCTATTTTTTGGTTGTAGTTGTCATTGTTGTTTGGCAGGCCCAGGCTGGATTTGAACCTGTCAGTTCAGGTGTATGTGGCTGGTGCCCTAGTTGCTGAGCTACAGGCACCGAGCCTAGAGGTGCTTTCTAATAGTATTGTATTATAGACTGTGATTTTTTTTTAAGTCTTAAGTCATTTGTAACTAAAAGAAATGCCAGACTATATTTATCTGTATTACAGATTTCATGCAGAAAGAGCTATTGGTATCATTACCCACATCCTACCTGAAGATCATCTTCTTTTGGCTTCTTCAAAGAGGGTGAAAGGTATCCTTTGCAATCTAGTAATCTAGATGTTTTTGGAAAATAATGCGGTATAAAGTAGTAGTATTTGTTTATTTTCTTACAGGTAGTAACACAGGATTAGACTGTACATATTACTAAGATAGCCAATTCACTGCAGCTCTCCTTCAGGGTTTCCAGTGAGCTCATAATGAAAGATTATTTTCTTCTCTCATCTAATGTTAGTAAGGCAGAATTTCTTCTTTTCTACTTTTTAAAATTTATTCTTATGTGCATTAATTTTTTTTGAGGATTGCATGAAGGAATAACACAAGTGATTCCACAGTAACATGAGTAGAAAACTAAAGATGAATCTCATAATTTCATAGTGCAGGATTTTTAAACCAAGCTTCATATCAGGTTACCCTGAATGTAGCAGGGCTCTTGCCAAATACCATATTCTTTTTCTTATTTTAATTTCTCTTGTAATCACCACCAAAGCTTTTTTACTTAATCCATTTATTTTGCTGTCATGATTGGGTCACCCATATAATTCCATGTATATTGGATAAGTTTTACCTTTATTCTAGAACCAGGAGTTTTTTCTCTCTATGTTTGCATTTTTTTTCTTTTTTTGAGACAGAGCCTCAAGCTGTCCCCCTGGGTAGAGTGCTGTGACATCATAGCTCACAGCAATCTCCAACTCCTGGGCTCAAGCGAGTCTCCTGCCTCCACCTCCCGAGTAGCTGGGACCACAGGCACCCACCACAATGC